TTCAGGAGAGGTCAGTCTGACTCTCCGTCGAGTCACTCCGTTTCCTGAGACTCACAAATCTATCAAATTTGAATTCAGATTCAAGTTGTGCCAAACCCAGTGTTAAAATACATTTTGTATATAAAGGTTTCCGTGAGGAAAATATTAATAACCCTATTTGTCCAAACTTTAGTAAAGTTACAATAATGATATCCTGTCATTGGTTTTTATAGGAAATTTTGACCTCTCTATGTTTTTTTTACGTATTTATTTATTTACAATTCCATTTTATTCTATACTTTACTTGTTGTGTTTATTTTATAATTTTTTGATTCCATTTCTTGTAACTTTCTGAAAAGAAATTTTAATCTTTCAACGGAATCCTGACGTCTGGTCCTTATATCTAGGAGAAAATTTTTGTAAAATAATTCGACGTTATACTTTCACCGAACCTAATCTTAACGTAACCACTATTGCTCACTGTAATACTACCTATCTTTTATCCCTTCATTGGAGAAGCCCAGTGTCAAAACCTCGTCTAGCGTCACTGAAGGCATTAATAAATCAGATTCCGTTTTATACCTCTTCCAACAAATAGGTATGTCTATGCAATAGCCGATAGGACTAAAATCTAGACAGGTCACAAAGACGAAATAATTAAAGTACTCGTGGCGAATATTTACAGGCCGTGAAAACACAGAGGCTCACGGCCACAAGGAGTTGTGTGTTCCGTATACGTGTGAGCCGTGCGTTGTTTTTGACCCCAATGGCATTACATTTGGGTCGGAAGTACTCATATCCGCCGTTCGGGGAGATTCCGATAGCGATTAACCCATTAGGGAGGACGTGCACACGTCGCGTTGCTTGTCTAAATTTAGGTGCGGCGGTGGGATAACTGCGAACCCCGGGGTGGAGGCCCGAGTGAAGGCATATTTATGCTTCATTGCGGTGGTAGATGAGGGGTGTGTGTTGGTGCGAAAAGGATAAGGGTCGATAAGCGCCTCGTTAGCCGCGGGCTGGGCGGAATCTCCCGAACGCGGATATGAGTATCTTCGACCCCAATGTAATGCATTGGGTCAGAGATATAGCATATTCTCCGAAGCGGGAAATTCCGATAGGCGATAACCCAATTCCCGCTTCCGTCCTAAATTCAGTTGGCGGTGCCAAGGCATGCAGGACGCATTTTACCTCCGTAGTGTAAGGTCCCTAATATCCGTAAATTTTTTTAACCTTATAAAGGTAGTCCCTTGCTCCCATCCGATTATCCGATGGACAGCAATATTTTCTTCTCTGCGGCTCAGAAAGGAAATTTATTTTGCTAGTTCTCTCCCCTTTTTTTCCCGTCGAGAGATTCACGATGTCCATCCTCTTCTCCCGTACGTTAATTTTTGGGGCTGTAATTGAGTACAGACTGTCCCGATAAGTCACTTGACTTACACAGTCTCTCCTTACCCTCTTGTAGGGAGTTTTATTTTTGCTTATATTCTTGTCCACTTCTGGTTCCTTTTACGTCCGGTCCACGTTTACACAGAAAAAAAAAAAGGTGACAAGTATAAGGAAAGGGCACGTTGCGGCATCTCCAAAAAACTTTGAGGGGACCACGCACCGGGCGAAAAATTACAAAAAGGAAAAAAGGGCCCCTAAGGTTTGGGTCGCCCTTCTGTATGCGAGAAACTTGTTTGCGAAAGTGGTATCGGTCACACTGGTCCGGCGAACACATCTATCTCCGACGGGGATTTACTTCGCGGAGAGATATACATGTTTTGTCTGGCGACCCTAAACCGCATTTTCGTCGGCACGCACGTAAAATTTTATTTCGGACGGTCGCGCCGCGTGCCCTGTTCCTTTCTACTTTTCACCGAAAAAGGAAGAGGCTTACACCAACCTCCTCCCCCCTTTCTTCGGGAAAGTTTCCAATGATAGTGAAAAAAGAAACTTAGAATTTCTCGAAAAAACAACACTAGGTGGAAAAAAACCGGTATTTGCGGCCCAAGCCCCGCGTTTTTATTGGTCGAACTCGACGGGGTAGAGGGGAACCTAAAGAACCTTCTGTACTTGCCTCGGTTGGGCTCTCTCGTCTGTTCAGGTTGATGTGGTGAAAATCGAACTTACAAGTCTCAAAAAAATTCTTCGTCTCTTAAAATGAAAAAATAAAACTGACTATGTTTTTTGAAGTCCCCTTTTTGGGGAAACTAGATTTATAACCAAAAAAAAGGTTTGTCCTCGAATGGGTCAACGCGCGGTTCGTTTGTGAATTTTCGGGTTTTAAGGTGAAACTCCGCGGATGTTTCGCGCACTTTGTGGCCAAGAACTCAAGAAAGACAATCAGAGGAGCATCTTTTTGCAAAAAAAAAAATACAAGGGTCTCCCCAACTGAAATTTGTGGGGCACGACTTAGCAAGTTTTTGTGAATTGCACCGTACTTTCTTTACCGTTCCGCCGTCTCTATTTAACAAAAAAAAATAGCACGATATCCGGTTTTAAAAAAAGGACAAGGGGTCGTTTTTGTCGGAAATCCCTTCCTTTTAACTATGTCCGTGCACCTTTTCCGTTCCCCCTGTGCATTGCCCCAGGGTTTCGGAAAGGGATGTTGTTTTTGGTGCGGAACCTTTGTCGGATACAGGTAAAACCGGACACCACATTTCTTGCGGGACCCACCTTGCGCCGGGGGGGGATTCTGGGGGACATTTCCAATTCTTTTGAAAGTGTTTGGTAAGATATACCTCTTCTTCCGGGTTCGGAGAGAAATTCACAAACCTATGTGGCGTAGTCCCCGGGTACCGGGTTGTTGCAAAAAAAAAAAAAACGGGATTGTAAACTCCACCTTTGGAACGAAAACCTGACTAGCGGAAAGGGAGGTGGACCCTCTCTCGTTAGGGGGCTGTGGGCCTTAAAAAAAGGGGTGCCAAGGAGGGAAAAAAGGGGGAACTGTCGGTAGGCGACAATTTTACGTCCCTCTTGGTCCTAAACTGGTTGAAATATCAACCGCTGAGGGCCCCGGAAATAAAAATTTCTTGTCGAATAGTTCGGCGAAAGGAGGGACGTGAGCCATGGTCCTTGGGCTCCCTAAAGTCTCCCTGACCACCCCTTTTGCATGTCAATTGTGGGACCGGTTCCAAGAACAAACGGGCTTGCACAGGTGGGGGTCTCCCCCCCACTTAAGGGGACGGGAAGAGTCCCTCTTGGTCTCTCGGTCGTGAAAAACCGCGGCAAAGGGCGCACGTTCGCTTTGTCTAGGGTGGAGGCGAGAAAAGGCTTTGGACGAGGTATGGACCCTCTGGTCGAAGGACCCACCTTCCGAAGAGGTCAAAAGGGGGGAAACAGGTTCCTTGAAGGAGGAGACCTAATACTTCCCAAGCGGGGGAAGGACAAAGTCGGAAAGCGCCCTTAATTATAGCGGAAGACTTGTCTTCTCATCAAAACCACAACGCGGCGGGTCGTGTTTGTTCGGAAGGGACCGACACAAGGTCCGTCGAAACGCGAACTAAAGCATTGTGGAAGGGACTGCTTAAATACATTACGGAACGGCGACGGAAACCAAACAGGCAAAGCTTAGTTGTGTACTACTAAAGGTGTCGTTACCCCCCGCGCTTCACGGCCTAAAAATTGAGGAGGGTATTTAACCGCTCAATTAAAAGGTCGCGCAAAATATACTTTTCCCTGGTACAAACTCCGGCCGGTGAGAGGGGGGGTGACGGACGTGTACGTACAAGGAAGGTGGGTGGGACTCTTTCGCTAACGCAAAGGGACATTTGGTGGCTCCACCAACACCTGCAGTTGGGAAGACGGTTCCCCTTTTGGGGTGACTTTTCCTAAACACCCATAAAAAGGTCATCCAGTTCTAGAAAATTTGTGAATTGCCTGTCCCCTTTTACATGTGGTACGCACGAGAAAAAAGAACTGCGTTGCCCCAGCTACGCGTCCGTTTATTTTGGTTGGAGACTTCAGGAAAGGGAGTCACTTCCTCTGGGGGTCCCTTAGTTTGTGGGTGGCACTGGTCGGAAACTGTAGTACGGGTTGTCGACGGTAAGTGCCTCTCCCGACAGGTGGTGGGACGGCCCACACCTGCGCGGGCTCCTCTCGAAAAAAAAAAACACAGTCTTAGGAGGTGAGAAGGCGAACACTCTCAAGCACGCGAAAGAAGTACGCCCGGACTCAAACTTAAAGTTGGGGGTCTATATCTATATTTAAGACACCTTCCCTTCTCCATGTCGAAGAAGGACGGGTTAACTAAAAAATTACCTTTTGGGTCCGAACTGTCCCACTCTATGGTTCAAACATGGCAGGGGAAAACATTTCGTTCGAAAAGGAGAGACCCTCGCCCGGGGTCGTTTATCGTCCAGGCAGGGTCTATTTTTTATTGTGAGAGTAAGGGAGAAAAGAACGCATCGCCGAGGTCGCCGGCGGAGGTGTGTGAAAAACCTTTTTCACCGCACCTCGTCTCTTTTATAGGCTTTGCCGTTTTCAAGGCTTAAAACTTGACCATTTGCGAATAAAAGGGAACCTTTTAAACTTCTTTGCGTCCTTTTAAGGGAACACAAAAAAAAACCCTAACTTTTAACCAATACACCCTTCAATTTTCGTTTAGGAAAAGTTCCAATAAAAGGGGATACA